CCCATGGCAGGTCATTTAGGTGTTTATAAAACCTACCATAAAATTCTCAATCATTTTTATTGGCCTGGCCTTAAAGCAGATGTATCTAGGTACTGTAAATCTTGTCATACTTGTCAGATGGTTGGAAAACTTAACCAGACAATACCTTAAGCTCATTTACAGCCTATTCCTGCATTTGATGAACCTTTTAGTAGAGCTATTATTGACTGTGTAGGTCCATTACCAAAAACTAAATTAGGTTCTCAGCACTTATTAACTATTATGTGTGCTTCTACGCGCTTCCCTGAAGCTATTCCTTTAAGAAATATTAAAGCCAAAACTATTGTCAAGGCTCTTGTGAAGTTTTTCACATTTGTTGGTTTACCTAAATCAGTACAGTCTGATCAAGGGTCAAACTTTATGTCTGGTATTTTCCAGCAGGTCATGCACGAGTTAGGAATTACTCAATATAGGTCTTCAGCCTATCACCCTGAAAGTCAAGGTGCATTAGAAAGATTTCACCAGACTCTGAAAAATATGATAAGGTCATATTGTTTTGACACTGAAAAAGACTGGGATGAAGGCATCCATTTATTGTTATTTGCTGTAAGAGAATCTGTTCAGGAATCTCTTGGTTTCAGTCCTTTTGAATTAGTATTTGGTCACACTGCCCGAGGACCCTTAAAACTTCTTAAAGAGAAATTCCTGTCTGAAGATGACATATCTTTTAATTTGCTTCAGTATGTATCAGATTTTCGAAATAGGTTGACTAATGCATGTGATTTAGCTAGGGTTAATTTAAAATCAACACAAAGTAAAATGAAATCAAGGTATGATGAGAATAATCAGGAAAGAAGTTTTAACCCTGGTGATAGAGTACTTGCACTTTTACCTATACCTGGAAAACCATTACAGGCAAGATACTTTGGTCCTTATACTATTGAAAAGAAAGTCAGTGACCTTAATTATATTATTAATACTCCTGGGAGGCGAAAGCAAAAACAAATGTGTCACATAAATATGTTAAAAGAATATTTTGACAGAGATAGCAAAATTAGTAAAACCTATATCTTTTGTAAACTCTGTTCCACAAAATCAATGTTCAGTTGAATCTAATAGTTATGAAAAATTTTGAAAAGTCTGATCCTGGTTCAGCAAAGCTTGAAAACTCTGATATTCTGAAAAATCTGGATGAAAAACTTGCTCACTTAGAACCAACGAAACGAGATGAACTGACACAGCTTATTTATGAATATGAACACTTATTTCCTGATATTCCCACATGGACTGATAAAATACATCATGACGTCATTCTTGAAAACTATGAACCAATTAAACAACATCCATATAGAACAAATCCTGTAAAACAAAAGTACCTAAGACAAGAAGTTCAGTATTTATTGGAAAATGACTTTATTGAACCAAGTCAAAGCAGTTACAGCTCTCCATGTATTTTTGTACCAAAATCAAATGGAACATATAGAATGTGTTCAGATTATCGTAAAGTGAACTCTGTAACAAAAACTGATTCATTTCCTATATCAAGAATTGATGACTGTATTGACAAAATTGGAAAAGCAAAGTATGTAACAAAGTTTGATCTTCTAAAAGGATTCTGGCAAGTTCCACTTACTGATAGAGCTAAAGAAATATCAGCCTTTGTAACACCAGACGGCTTTATATCAATATAAAATATGATAAAGTCATGCCCTTTGGTATGAAAAACTCACCAGCAACTTTTCAGAGACTTTTTAAACATTGGTAATATCTGGTCTACACGGATGTGACGCATACATTGATGACGCAATCATTTACTCTGATGAATGGGAGGAACATCTCAAAACAATAAGAGCATTCTTCGACCGACTTAGTGATGCTAAATTGACAGTTAATCTTGCAAAAAGTGAATTTTGTCATGCAATTTTAACACTTTTAGGACATGTAGTGGGACAGGGTAAAGTTAAACCAATAGAAGCTAAGGTTAAAGCTATCTCTGAATTTCCTGTGCCTACTTGTAAAAGACAACTGATGCGATTTCTTGGTATGGCAGGGTATTATCGTAAATGTTGTAATAATTTTTCGGCTATTGCAGAACCATTGACAAATTTACTGAAGAAAAGAAACAAATTTATTTGGAATGACAAGTGTCAAATGCCATTTGACAGCCTTAAAGCCATACTTAAGAGTGCACCAGTTCTCTTGGCACCAGATTTTAATAAAAACTTTAAGTTAGCTGTAGATGCTAGTGACATAGGTGCTGGAAGTGTAAGTGTATTGATCCAAGAAGACCACAATGGTATTGACCATCCCGTTTGTTACTTTTCTAAAAAGTTTAATGAACATCAGCAAAAATTATTCTACTATAGAGAAAGAGTGCCTTGCTCTTATTCTTGCTATTCAGCATTTTGAAGTTTATCTAACTTTTTCAAAGTTGCCTGTTGTTGTCTTTAGTGATCACAATCCCCTCACTTTCTTGCATAAACTTAAAAACAAAAATCATAGGTAATTGAGGTGGAGTTTGTTTTTGCAAGAATATAGTCTTGACATTAGACACATTAAAGGGAAAGATAATTTGATCCCTGATGCACTTTCACGTGTCTAAAACTGTTATTTGCAGTATTTTAAATTTAACATTTACATGTATATGATAAGATTGATTATTCTTTTTTTTGTTGTTGTTTGCTATTGTTTGTAATAGCATTTATATGATATGATTGGTTATGTTTTTGTTGTTGTTTGCTATTGTTTGTAATACACATATATATGAATGTATAAAATTGTTTAACATTTCTCCTATGTTATTTGTAAGTTACATTGTTTGAATTTATGTAAAAGAAATATTCATTTCATTAATATTTCTTTTTCTTGAAGAGGGGAAGTGTTATGTATGCAACTTATTACATGTATATAATTTATATCTGACCAGTTGGTATTTCCAATATTATCATTGTTCTATTTTTAGAACATTAACTACATGTATGTACTAGAACTTTCTTAACTGTTGTAGAAAACTCATGCATTATATTTAGATAGAAACTTCTGGAATGTTCTTTATTGTTGAAGTTGCTAGATTATGATTACTTGAGAACATAATAGACCTTTCTGGAATTTTCTTAGTTAATATATATAAATTGACATTTTTCATTACCTTTACCTTTTAAGTCATCAGTGATGTTTCAAGTCATCAGTTACTTTTTTAAGTCATCAATATATTTGGAGTATAATTCAACTTGGATATTAAGTGAATAATTGGAGGTTGGATTATTTCAAAATAGATTAAATTATTCTTGTGGATTTTATTGTGGGAATTTATTCTAAAGTGTTCTTGGATTAAACTTGGATTCAACTGTGTTATTCAAAAAGGGTCATTCCAGGATCAGACTAGTCATTTAAGATTTTCACTTATATTTGGACTTCAGGTATTTGTACTAATAATTTGTTGTTTTAATTTTCTTTTATAATTTTTCTGTAATAAATTTTTTATTGTTACAAGTTTGTTGCTGGCTTTTCTTTCTCGTTACGCCTGGCTCGTAACACTCGGTATTTAAGCAGACCTAAGTTGAAACCGGTATTTAAGTAGACCTCAGTTGAAACCTTCAAAATTTTTTTACCCAAAGTGCATATCAACGCACTTTGGGGTCAGTAACTCGCGTTCGACCCCAAAGTGCGTTGTGAAGTTAACCATGCTTTAAGGTCAGACCTCAAAGTGCGTTTGACCCAAACGTGCGGTGCTACAAAGCTACAAACTTGTATGCACTCAGAGCATATTTAGGCCAATTTTGAATTAACACTTGACTTTTGACGTACAAGCGAAACTTTGGCAATTGGGTTGAAGAGCTTACTATACAACATCTTAAAATACAACCCATTTCTGTAAAGCTGTTTAAAATCGAAATGGCATGATTGTTGACTGGACATTAATACATTCTTAATTCTTGTGCGCGGCAAATTGTAATCATGGGCAACATTTTAAAGTAACAAAAATGAAATAGGAATGACAGAGTGGTGACAGGGCATTGCACTCTTATGATATTCCTTAAAAAATAGGGTGTGATCTTCAACTTCTTCTATATACAAATAGTTAGAAATGCATGATATGCATAGACGAAAAGATGTACAGATGACATACGGAAGTACGGGAAGACAACTGACGGACAAAGGCTTCAACAATTATATACCTCACCATCTTTTTGTGGTCGGGTAGAAAAAACAGATGGCCAAGAAATCAATAGTCATGACAGCAATTTAAATGTTGACGAGATATAAACTATTGAAAAATGGTGTTATCTTTTAACTTACCTGACTCGTGTGAGACCCGTCCTCTGATTGGCTGCCTGCAAAAGTTATACTTGAACTTTGCAATGCATTTTAATATAAACTTATTGTGTTCAATGCAATGAATTAATTGAAATTATAGAAACAATATTTTACAAAATATAAACATTTACGACAAATTTTACATTGAACGGGACAATGCATCAATATACAAATTTATCATGACTATGGTATAATTGGAAGATATTAGAAAGTTTTCGACAGTGATTTTTATTAGCATGACAATAACTTATCCTCGACAATAATGTTTTTGTAGTTATTGATTTGCTTTGACATAGCACCATTTCTAAGCCAAATAAACATTTGACCATCTAATTTTGAAGAATATTTCAATTTTTCTTTCGAATATATAAATTAAAAATAAAAGTTTATGACCCATGTTTTGATCAAATAGATAAATATTTTAGGCATCTTTACAGTAAGTTAAGATTAATTATTATTGAAAATAATTAATCTAGGCCAATAAGTTGCTTCATTTCTTCTTCTTTTCTTTCTGTTTGCTGTGTAATTGGCAATTTGCAAAATTAAGCGAAATGATGGTGAACACAAACTGTATTTGTTTAACCTAAGCGGATACATATGTATGTACATACCATGTATTTACGCATTCAATCACGCTTTAAACTGCTTTTGATATTAGGTCGTCAAACAGGGTAAACTATTAACTTGTATGTAAAAAACATATTTCATCTAAAACAATGAGATATTAAATCATTATCATTAATTTATCATTCATTTCAAAATTTGCTTTCGCATTGTTCTTTATCTTTAAATTTAAGCCGATTATAATATAACATTTTGAAAGATTAATTTAGATATTTCTATAGAGATTTTTGCTATTGTATTATAATAAATGTAAATTTACTGACTCAATATGGGGCTAGTATTGGCTTCAGATAATATTTCTTGTTCTTGTTTTGTTCTATTTTCACAGATGAACAATAAGATAGAACATACAGCTGAGAGCCTTGCAGTTTAGACAAAAAATATAATTTAGAGATATTGTTTACGTTTGCTATGATAACCGGATCAAGGCCTCATACATTGAAGATACTTAGCAAATATGATCAATACTGATTCAGTGCCACAAGAGAAAATGTCTGTTAATAGACATACAATATTTGACAGAGGCCATACAATTTGCGGTCCTTATCGCACACTTCGAGTCTGAGTGTCAAGTGTACACCAGCTATAAGGAAATAAAAATGCAAAGGTTCTTTGCAATAATTTACCTTTTCTTTCTGTAGTGTCTTATCAGCAGCGCACAAAATATCAACAATATTACTGACACTACGATAGCAACAGCTCCTAAGACTGGTCCAATAATGCTAAGGTAGTCCTCTAAAATCAGAATAATGCATTACTATATATGCTAGATGTGATTTATTTAACAATAGAGCTACATTTGTCGTGAAAATTACATGACTTATATGTGCTGAACATTCCGTTCTATCGCATAAAGCAGTAGATTTTATTCAGTGATTGATCAACTTGGCGCCAATGGACCCAAACATTTTCTAGCCGAAACAGAAAAAAACGTTATTTAAAAGTGAGAGTCTCCGAAGAATAAGAATTATTATTTTCATGTTTAATCAATAATGCAATTAATATTAAAAATACTTGATATATGTAAGAAAATTTTTAAATGGTGTTACCTTTGACACTTGCTTTATGAGTATTCCTGAAAATTATAAAGAAATTATTAAAAGAAATAATAAAAGGTAACATTGGTAACATAAAATTCTGGAAACAAAATGATCCCTCGGAAGCATCAATCACAACAAAATAACATAAGAATTATAGACTCGGTTTGATTGAGTCTGTACATAAGGGATAATGTATAAGTGCAACATCCCTCACGCCCCCTAGCACCGGCTTGAGCGGTACTCAATTCTCAACACTTTATAGTGTTAAACACATCAGAAGCAATGGTATAAAATTGAGATTTGATATGAAAAAATAAATTTAACTCTCGCATAAAAGTACGCTTAATTTCTTACAGGCAAATCGGCTTGTTGTTAACAATTTCACAACTACTATTTTTATCACACTGTCCTGAAAGAAGTTCCCGTAGGTAACATGGGTCTGTATGTGTTGGTAACACTGAAAAGTACTATATAGTGTAAATAATTTGTTATTTCGCATTGAAATATATGTTAAGGTAAACTTATTGTATAAATAATACATCATGCAACTGTTGCTCAAGTTTTGAACTTCAAGTGTAGGCATACAAAAATATGTCATATTATACCTATCATAGCATAAAATCGGTTATTTTCTACATGTTATGTATGCAACACAGACAGGGTCCAGTAAACAAACAAAGGGGACGGTGGTCTAGTGGTAAAGTTGTCTGCTTTACAACCCAGAGATCATGTGTTCGAGATCACGACCATGTTCCTTCATATGACACCAGTACTGGCTTTTTCCAGGAAGCGGACTCGAACGTGATTAAATATAAGTTGCAAGAACTTGTTTCGCAATCGAGCTAAAATAAATATGTTAAAACCATACAAACAAAATGACGATTAGGAAAAAAAATCATGCGTTCTTGTTATATTGGCATTATTGATTCGATGGCCTCAATCCCATAATGGTGAGCAACATTCAAGTACCGATCCTGCAACTACGGCGTATAGACATCGCCACTAATCTTCGTTATCGCCCTTTCCAAAAATACGGACAAATCTGTCACTCAGTTCTACCCTCCGATTAACTTAGAAAACAAGATTACACAAAAAGAATATTAGAAAAATTTGTTTTATTGCTGTTTACATTGATTAATATCTTTTTTATTGCTTTGAGAGAATAACGTTAAGTGTCATTTTTTTTTTATAAACTTGTGATTACAAAAACGATTCTGATGTCATGTCACAAATCCAGTTCTAATTTCTAAATGCCCCTTATCTTTCTTCTACCATCAATCTGAATTTCTGATGGTCATGATTTCTTTTGGGTATTATTATTTAATTTCATTCTTGTGTTATTGAGCTTTGTTAAATCAATTAAAATTCGATATTTCGTTCGGCTCTGAGCATTTGATTTGTATTTCCTATGTTGTTGGCCCCGGATAAAGTTGTATGCTGAAATAATGTCAACGCACATTTATATTTCGTGTAATAACGTCTGCATAGTCCCTCGAACTGTTGGAAATTTTTGAGCCCTCGCCCATACGGTTTCGGACACCATCCATTTCTCGGGACTCTGCATTCGTTATAACACGGAAAACGTGCGTTAACCCTATTCTTGAATCCAATCGTTTTAACTTTTTAAAAGTTGACCCTCCCATATGTATCAATAATTGTGTAACGCTATCGGCAACACAGAAAGGTCAAAGCAGTTGAAAAAAGCATAATAGAAGACGATTAACTGTGAGACATGTTAAAGACACACAATAATTACAGTCATATAATATTTAGTGCACTATTAACCTAGACAGGATAGATAACCAAAGTAAAATGATTTTATACATATAGATATAAGTGAATGAAAAGAAACTTGTTGAGTCATGATTTCTAATACTTAGGATAACATTCGTAATTTTAAATAAATCGTTTTTGAAGAATATTATTTGCCTTTAGATTATCACAATATGTGTAGAACAGTAAATACAGGGATATATAAGGTAATCAAAAGTGACATGATAAGGAAAGAATTATAGAAAGTTCAATTTCTGACATGTTTGGGTTTTATAAGAAGAAAGCGTATAATAAGAATCATATTCGAGATATGGACAAGGACATACTATAAATTCAAAATTAATCAATTAGAATTTTATAACAAAAAAGGAATCGGTCTTATTTTCAAAAGAAAGAAAATTAGATAAATTTATGAAAAATACCCGGTTTGACGGGAACAGGATTTCCATCAATGTCAAGGCTTCCTTTTTTATCTAGATCCATAATCGCATGAACAACAATATCAGCTACAAAAGTCTGATCTTCCTTGTCATCAATAACGACTGTGTAATCTACAATAATACTTCCAGCTCTGTAAAAACAAATGATAGACCAATAGGAATAATTTGTATTTTTATTTGTGAATCAAAAAATAAAATACAACACAATATTCAAAACGTTTCTTTTTCATTTTTAAAGTTCATTTCAAATTTGTCGTTTTGTTCCAATCTATAAATAAACGGAAATGTCTGTATCTTCAAAAGAAGATCAATATTCCAAATTCTTATATTTTAGAAAGACATTCTAGTTTTCGGCTTAATATATTTTGTCTGATTGTAACATAATAAAACTAAAAAGATACTGGTCAAAGAAGTCCGATAAAGGATAAACATTTGAAATACCAAAATGTTTATCTTAATGTAAATATTTCCATTAACTTAAAAAGATAGTATCATACCAACTATTTTTATCAGAATGTCGCTTAAGTTGCACCTTACTTGACTTCAATATTGTTTCATTTTTTCTGGTATATCAGGATAATTGATTTCAACACATTAACTAAATGTTGAGATACCCTCCCCTTCCAAACATTATTATCATGTGAACTGGAAAACTTGGAAAAAGTGTATGTTCATTATTCCCATCATAGAAACATTTGAAAATCCATATTTTTGCACATACTATCTAATTACATATTTTATAAATAAAAGAGGAGCATATGTTACAAACCTAATACTGTTGACATAAACGTAAACAGTAGCTTTTGTTGTCGTTCTGAAGTATCTCTCCAACTTGCAAAATAACAAACAAATAATACAATATTTTTTCCATATATCTGTTATAGCGGCAATGATATATGTCGCATTATGTGCTCTATGGGACACAGTATAATATTACAAAAAGTAATGCAAACCATACTAATGTATTCAAAATTCGCATAAACAGACACATATATTATTTATTGTTGCTATATATTTAATTGGTGCAATGAGTTTATTCACAAGAAGAAAATGAACTTTGCACTAAATTATTATTCATTACGGAGCCATTTGTTCAATGGCAAATATTTGTAGCGGTGCATCTATAAACGTGTAGACAGTAATTGTTATCAAACGAGCAATCCCTGATTCATTTTGCCAATTTTTTGTATGCTCATATACAGTAAATTTGCTAGCGCACTTGCTAGTGTGTATGTGATATGATAAATAAGATCAACAAGGAAAGACGGCATTCAATGAACGCAACCCCCTTATGACACAGCAACTGAACCAGTGGCTAAGAGCCCAGTGACACTTGGGGTGTAAACAATCATTAAAACATTTGAAAAGTAATATTATTACTGTTTTCCTTATTTCTGTATACAAAGAGTAGTTTCTTAAAGCTATTTCACTTTCTAATGAGAGGCGAATAGTTGAAGATACCGCCTTTTCACTCACATCTGTAAAAAACAAGAACATGTCAATGTATTAATGCTGATGTTGCGACTTTCAATTGTTTAATTGTTATTATGAAGTTTTTCGAGTTCGTTTATTGGACAGACTTAAGAATTAAATGCGAAACCCTTTAATATATTACAGTTTGTACGTGTGCTACTGGAAGTCTTAATAGAGCGTTTTTACCTATTCCTCTTTTTTAAGTCAATTTATTCATTTCTTTACTAGGAAACGACTGATCACTTTGTAATACTTTTATCGTATTTTTTTTTCAGTAAACTTTCAAGCAAGCCCCGAAGAAGATTTTCATGTCTGCATGTTAAAATGTTTTGGTGATGGTCTACATCTACATGCAAAGATGGAAATCTTATTCTCAACTTGAAAACATGTTGTTGTTTGTTTTTATTTTGTGGTCATATACTTATTAAAGATGACATGACAATGTATTTAAAAGTGTTATACAGCATACGAGCGTTATATATCACTTATTTTATTCTTTTAAGATATAAATGTTTTTCGACAAGATTTTCTAGAAATGTATCGTAAGAGATTTATATGAAATTATTCTACATAATCTTATACAATAAATCATTATAAAATAATAATGGCTATAAAAATAATAATCATGAAATAATTTCATTGATTACGATATTTCGATATTAACACACAAAAAGCATGCTGAACTCCAATTTATTTTAAAGCAAGTAAGTTATTATACCTTTACATGTAAAACCGTCCTCATTTAAAAGTCGTTTCTGTTCACAAAGACAATTGTATGTTCCTTCAAAATTGATACACTTCTCTTCACATTTACCATTATTGTCTGTACATTCGTTTATATCCAAACATGAAACAAAATCTAAATCAATATTGTATCCGTCTTGACATATACATTTGAAAGATCCATTAAGATTATCACATTTGTGTTCACAGCCACCATTGTTATCGAGACATTCATTAATGTCGATGCAAACCTTTTTGTTTACATGTAGTATATATCCATCCGTACATGAACAACTGAAAGACCCTTTTACGTTGTTGCATAACTGACCGCAGCCACCATTATCAGTTTGGCATTCATTTATGTCGACACATGTCTTTTTGTCTTCATGTAAAATGTATCCTTCTCGACATGAACAGGTATATGATCCATCCGTAATTACACATGTGTGATCGCAACCACCGTTGTCTTCCAGACATTCGCTAACATCGACACACGTTCTGTTGTTTTCATGTACCCTATACCCGTCGTTACAGGAACAGATGAATGAACCATCTGTGTTGGTGCATATATGGTCACAACCACCGTTGTTATCAAGACATTCGTTAGTGTCGATACATGTTAGCCTGTCAGTATTTAAATCATACCCATCGTGACAGGAACAAATAAATGAACCATCAGTGTTGATACATGTGTGACTACAACCACCGTTATTGTTGAAGCATTCGTTTTTATCAGTACATGTCCTATCATTTTTATGTAAATCATACCCGTTCTTACAGGTGCAGGTGAATAGGCCATTTGTGTTGTTACAAATATGTTCGCAACCACCGTTATCATGAAGGCATTCATTAATATCGACACATGTCCTTTTATTTTCATGCAAGCTATACCCGTCCTTACAAAAACAATTAAACGAGCCATCCGTGTTGCTACACATGTGATCACAACCACCATTGATACTTAGACATTCATTAATATCGATGCATGCTCTGTTATTTCCATGTAAATTGTACCCGTCGTTACAAGAACAGCGAAACGAACCATCCAAATTACTACATATGTGATCACAGCCGCCGTTGTAATCAAAGCATTCGTCAATATCGACACATGTTCCGTTATTTCCATGAACACGAAATCCTTCGTTACAAAGACAGGTAAACGAGCCATCCGTGTTGTTACACATGTGATCACAACCACCATTGTTACTTAGACATTCATTAATATCGATGCATGTCTTTTTATTTTCATGTATACTGTACCCGTCGTTACAAGAACAGCGAAACGAGCCATCCAAATTGCTACATATGTGATCACAGCCACCGTTGTCATCAAAGCATTCGTCAATATCGACACATGTTCCGTTATTTCCATGAACACGAAATCCTTTGTTACAAAGACAGGTAAACGAGCCATCCGTGTTGCTACACATGTGATCACAACCACCATTGTTACTTAGACATTCATTAATATCGATGCATGTCTTTTTATTTTCATGTAAACTGTACCCGTCGTTACAAGAACAGCGAAACGAGCCATCCAAATTGCTACATATGTGATCACACTGTCCGCCACCGTTGTCATCAAAGCATTCGTCAATATCGACACATGTTCCGTTATTTCCCATGAACACGAAATCCTTCGTTACAAAGACAGGTATACGAGCCATCCGTGTTGCTACACATGTGATCACAACCACCATTGTTACTTAGACATTCATTAATATCGATGCATGTCTTTTTATTTTCATGTAAACTGTACCCGTCGTTACAAGAACAGCGAAACGAGCCATCCAAATTGCTACATATGTGATCACAGCCACCGTTGTCATCAAAGCATTCGTTAATATCGACACATGTTCCGTTATTTCCATGAACACGAAATCCTTTGTTACAAAGACAGGTAAACGAGCCCATCCGTGTTACTACACATGTGATCACAACCACCATTGTTACTTAGACATTCATTAATATCGATGCATGTCCTTTTATTTTCATGTAAACTGTACCCGTCGTTACAAGAACAGCGAAACGAGCCATCCAAATTGCTACATATGTGATCACAGCCACCGTTGGCATCAAAGCATTCGTCAATATCGACACATGTTCCGTTATTTCCATGAACACGAAATCCTTCGTTACAAAAGCAGGTGAACGAGCCGTCCGTGTTGCTACACATGTGGTCGCAACCACCATTGTTACTTAGGCATTCATTAATATCGTTGCATTTTCTATTATCTGCATGTAATCTGTGCCCATCTTTACAGGAACAGCTAAACGAGCCATCCAAGTTGCTACATATGTGATCACAGCCACCGTTGCCATCAAAGCATTCGTCAATATCGACACAAGTTCTATTATTTTCATGTACACTGAATCCCTCGTTACAATAACAGGTAAACGAGCCGTCCGTGTTGCTACATGTGTGATAACAACCCCCATTGTCAACAATGCACTCGTCAATATCGACACATGTTCCCTCATTTCCATTTTTTTTTTTTTTTTTTTTTTTTTTTTTTTTTTTTTTGGTAAAAATCAATCCTTTTCGTTACAGGAACAGGTAGATGAACCCAGCCCCCCCGGGGGGGGGGTGGGGGGGGGGGGGGTTTTTTCCCTTTTTAATATTATGATTGCACCCACTTTGTTTAAAAAGGCCATTCATTTAATCGACCACATGTTTCTCTCGTCAGAATGTAAATGGTATCCCACGGTACAGGAACATTTGAATGAGCCCTCCGTGTTGCTACATATATGGCTGCAATCCCCGTTGGAAGCAATGCATTCATTGTTATCAACACATGTTGCCATATCGTCATTTAAACTGTATCCTTCGTAACAGACACAGGTAAATGAACCATTTATGTTGCTACATATTTGACTGCAACCCCCGTTATTAACTAGGCATTCATTAATATCGTCACACGTTTTGTTGTTTTCATGTAAAACATAACCGTCGGTGCAAGAACATATGAACGAACCATCAATGTTGCTACATGTTTGATCGCAACCACCATTATCATCAACACATTCGTCAATATCGACACATGTTTTCATATCTACTTTTATACTATATCCATCGTTACAAATACATGCAAAAGATCCATCCGTGTTTTTACATGTGTGATTGCAACCACCATTGTCATTGAAACATTCATTGTTATCGGCACATGTTCTCATATCGTCATGTAAAGTATATCCATCGTAACAGACACATCTGAAAGAGCCATCAGTGTTGCTACATATATGATCACAACCATTATTGACAAGGCATTCATTAATATCGACACATGTTCTGTTGTCTCGATGTAGATTGTATCCATCTTTACATGAACAGTTAAAAGATCCATCCGTGTTGATACATGTGTGATTACAACCACCATTGTCTGCCAGGCATTCATCCTTATCAATGCATGTTTTCTTATCGTCTTGTAAAGAAAACCCATCATTACAGGAACAGGTGAATGAACCTACTGTATTGTTACAGATTTGATTGCAACCAGAAGGCCATTCTTCCGCACTACATTCATTAATATCTTTTGAAAAGTAATAAATTGATAAATGAAATATTACAAATAAATACAGTCTAATAAAAATATAAGGTATTTATCATATCCAATGTTACTTATGTTTAACCATATATTATAATTTGTTACAAGTTTTTTCAATGTTAACATATTTAATCTAATGTATTTACTGATATATGTTTTATTGATGAATTAGCTGTAAATATCAGGAAGTACTTTTTATCAGTTGTTCAAAATTATTTGCTGATGTAACTTAAAAAAACACAAACATTCATCCAATAAGTGTTTTGTATCGTTTATTAATATCTAACACCCGATAAGAAAATGCTGATGTTCACAAATTAAGATTGATAATAGATGTTTGATTTACCTGAACATGTTATTCCATCTTCATTAAGAGAGTATCCTTCAAAGCAGGAGCACATGTATGACCCTACCATGTTATTACATAAGTGTGTACAGTTATGTCCGTCATGTTTACATTCATTTACATCTGTATGATATAATTGTAAAGTATTAATACAGAACAACGGTATCATTCGTTACGTTAAACAAAATTAACATTTCACAATATGAAACAGTAATCAATTTGAAATGTTTAAAAATTCTTTTAGCTGGTACTAATATTGGGAAAGAAATTGTACAAACAATATTATTGTGTTTGTGCAGAATAAACTTATGATGTGTTAACACTTTAATCAGTTGTAACCATTGCAAACACGGTATGAAACATCGGTGCTTTATTGAAAATGGACATGAAATTACCATATTACCATTTTTTATATGATCAAGATTTGTTATTTGTAAACATTACGAAAGATGTATTTACCTTGTAGTACAACACTTAAATAAGCATCAGAAGAGGTGATATTAGTCACTACATTCCCAGCAAAACAATTGTATTTGTCGTAAGAATCTTTTTGAGTAACGTTAAAAACGGTCAAAATATTGCAACTTTCTCCAGGGATAATCGTATCATTCTTCAGCCAAATAAAATCTGGTTCCGGATCGCCTGTAGCATTACAGAATAATGTAACATCACTCCCGTATAAAACTGTCTGGTTGTGAAGCTGTTTTACAAACTTCGGAGCCTCTGAACAAAATAAATTCATACTAACAAGCATGTTAATGTTAAAGAGAACATTCTCAAACGCCGATGCTGTCTCAATTATAGAAGAAGATTCGTTCTGAAATGTTTCAATCAGTAACCTTTCAAGGTCAAGAATTGACTGTTGAATGTTCGATATGTTTGGAAAGTTCTCTGATTCGTAAAGGACATACAAGTTTGAAATAGCGTAAAATATACAGTCCTGGAAATCTTCGCATTCGGATGCATTGAAATAATCCTTTGTCATATTTTTCATCGACGTAAACCAAGCATTTTGATAATCAATTGTCTCAATAGATTTCATTTCATCATCGACGCTTTTACTTGAAACATTTGCCGCCGACTGAATTTCAATGAGCAATGGATCTTCAGCGGCTGCCGTTTTTGTATCATTAATTGCTTTGTCAATGTCATTCTCTGTCATATTATAATCTTTACCAGCATATTCTCTACTTATCCCAACACTGTCACTCGTCATATTTTGAGATGGAACAGTTATACTGCTAAACTCTTGTAGCAGCCTCCTTACATTATCAATTTCTCCAATGTAAGTTTTCGAATCATTTACTACTTCTTGCAAAGAATTAAAAGCGTCTTGCATAAAGCTCTGTATCAATGTTATTGTTAAACATTTTTCCCTATATAATTCTACTCTACTCTCGGAATCACTGTCTTCCGATCCACGAAAGCCACTAATATTTTTACTCAAATCAATCGTTTCATCTAGGTTATTTAGGGTATTGTTAATATCATCTGATTCTCGAATTTTACGAAGCAGCACATGCATCCTTGAGGAGGCATCAAACTCTATATCTCTACGCTTACGATTAGAAAATATTCCGCCAAAGTAATTAATTACAGCTTCGATTGTTGCCCGTGCTGCCTGCCAAATACTCTGAAGTATGTTTTTAAAATTTATTTTCAATCTTATTTTGGTCCAGCCTAGCTTAAAAGCATTAACTTCACATGAAACTTCAAATACAGGAAGATCTTTCGTTGACATTGAAATATCAAATCCACAGTTTTTAACATCTATAATAGTTTTCAAGCCATACTCTATGACAAACTGAAGAACATCAGCGGCGGTGCCGATGACAATTTTAACTGCTTCAACAGCAATTTTTGCTGCCTCCAAAACGTCTTTTGCTACATCCAGGCCAATTTTTGCTAATTCTAAAATTCCTTCTGCCACAACCAAAACAACACGAGATTTATCTACTACGAACTGGGCAACTGAAACAGCAGCTTTAGCAACATCGTATGCAAGCATTGCAGCTCTTACAAAAATTTTTGAAAATTCTAGTACAATATAAGCTGCAGCTCGAATTGTCTTGCATGCTATATTTGCCAGCTCGCAAATTAGATCTGGAAAACTTATCATACAACTTGTTAATTTGCAGCATGGATAAGGTATCTTTCCAGACCAAAGTTTCTTAAAACAAACTCTACATTTTATTCCAGGTATGCAAATTCTTTTGCATGTCATTATTTTACACAGATTATTGATATCTCGCTGTGTATTTTCCAATTTTTGTATCGCTTCATTCAGAGGCAACTTTGCATCTTCAAGATTTTTCTTTTTTTGTTCAAGTTTCTTTACTGAATTGTCGAAAACAACGTTTGCAGTTTTGACGTCTTTTTGCTTTTTGTCTAACCAATCTTGTGCTTTAGTGAAACCATTTTGTGCTAATGTGAGCAAGCTTTGCACTTGAGTTAACCGTTTTTGAGATTCATCCGATATCATCTGGATGACTCTCTTCAAAGCATCTAAATAACTGCTTTGAAAAGAAGAACTTTCAGT